AACCGCTGTTTGAATAAGGTGTGTGATGAGTTGTTGCATATGTGGTCCTTGGTTATTTCACCTTATGATTCAATAATGTGGCATACTCTGCATGATAAATAGAATCATTTGCATGTAAATGCTGTTCTTCTTTTCAATATGGTGTCCATATATTTAGGCTTGCAACTGTTGAAATATTGATTTGTATTGAAGGGGAAGGAACTGATGTAAGCTCTGACAACATGCAGGTTTTGATCTGCGGTTGTGAACTTGCCTAACGTTAAACTTCTTGTCTTCTGGGTTATGATGCCGTCGAGTCTTTTAGGTGGTTACCAGCATTTTGGAGGAACATATCACCATCTTAAGAATAGTAGTTCACATCTACACTGCAGAGATGGGGGTTAAATGTCCCTCTGAAATTTTGATAATCACCTACAATAATGTAGTGTCACAACTCAAAAGACTACGGTGTACATTTTCACTGCCATGAAAATCTCAAATCTCATACCTTAAACTTCTTGTTGAAATGGACATAAACTGCCTGAGTTTTAAGTTTAGGCTTTAGCAGGTGACTTTGAAAGTTGTGTAATATGCTTTTTTTTTTTTTAGATTACGTAGAGAACAGTATGTTTGAATATCTGAAGTTGACTATATTGCAGTAAGCAGGAACATTTTATCAAAGTTGTTAAATTGATGATTTTGAAATGCAGTATAAACGATAAAGAAGCTTGAAAAGTCAAGCTAGTCTGCTATTATTTGTATATGTGAAGCAGAGAATGTAATGATCGGCATTTAAGCAACACAAAACCTGTGAAAGAGAATTCCAACAATATTTAACTCTTCAGATTATGGATATTTAACAGTCAAAAATTATTATTTGCAGCAGCTTAAAATGCAGTTGGTTTGTGAAAATCATCAGATGACACCTCAAATGCTCAATGTTGTGTAGTTATTTATCTGTCAGATTGCTTTTATTTGTATTCTTTATTTATGTTATTATTTGCATGTACATTTCTTAACAAATTGCTGTGAAAGGCTCAACATATAACTGATGCATGCGTGGTCTTGGGAGTTGGGATAATATATTGATTTCTTTACTCTCTCACGTCCAAATAAAATAAATCATCATCAAGTGTAATATGTGTTTAAGTTGTGCTTCATTCTGTTTCGCAGGGTGGTTCCAGGAAAAAATAACTCCAAAGAAGAAAATTAAACCACACTCCTGAAATGAAAACGACTCGTGTAAAATGCACTGCGCCGTGTGTCTGCTGTTACAGTAATTTTATAATGTTGAGACTCAGTACATTCAGGAGTATTTGTATGACTGTTCTAAAATGTATGTGTGTGCTTGTGTTTGTATGTATTGGGTATCAATCAGTACATTGGTGGCTGACGAGTAGTGAGCAATTTCTACACAAACTTCTGGGAGATTGGTTTACATATACTATGGTGCTTGAAATTAAACCACTGTGTTTGAATCATAGATTCTTGAATTGGCAGAACTGGCCATACATACGGGAAGAACTGATGTATGGTTTTCTTGGTGTTACACATGGATAAGAAATGGATTTCATGTCGGCGTGCGCACACACAGGGAACACGTTGTGCACAAACAGTGCACCAGTATGGTTTATTAATTCAGTATGTTTATGTTCATGATCAGCCATGCAACAGTTGGCTGACTGTTCACCTGTTTCACTCTAGGAGCAGTATGTCAAAGGGAATGTCGACGGCTGGCATGCTTCAGTTTCTATGTGAATATTTTGTCATACATTCTGGTCAACAGTCATAGACAGACAGCAATAGTGAGACCATCACACACTCAGCTACTTATAACGCGAAGGGTATATTAAACAGGTATACTTTGTCAGCTATTGGAACCCCAGATACATAAAAATTACAAGTTACTCACATTTTTGTTGTTTCACAAACCCCTTTGGTCCTCTAACTATAAATCAATCATTAGGGTGCTTCCACTGTATCTGCTTCTGCTTTTAACTCTTAAAGCACAGTGGTAATTCGCATGTGCCACCTAATGTAACATTACGTAACACTGCATTTTGTCCAGAATGTATTTAGTTTTTAAATGATTCTCAGAATAAACAGTGATAATTTTTTTAAAATAGAATTAATCAGCAATGCTTTGTAATGCAGTTGGATTGTTTCCTTTAAGGTAGCAAATAATTAACTCCATGGACCATAGTCTTAGGAAGCTGATAAATAGTATGCCCAGCTAGTCAAGAAAGTCCTGTTTTGGAACTTAAAAAGGTTCATTGCTGTGTTCATAAGAGCTTGCCATTGGTCACTATACTCAACCAGATTAATCCAATCCATGCTGCTTATATGCCCCCCTTCTTCAGGATTAATTCTAATACTACCCTCCGACATCATCTGAGTAATCTCTTCAGGCTTTCAGCCAAAATTTTGTATGCATTTCTCATCCCCCAAGTTTGCTACATGCTCATTTCATCTCATCCCCTTTGATTTGATCATCCTAATAGTTTGTGAAGAGTACAAATTATGGAGATCCTCATTTTCAGTTTTGTCATCCTTTTGTTATTTCATCCCTCTTTGGTCCAAATAGTCTCCTCAGCACACTCTTGTCAGATATCTTCAATCTGTGTTCTTCCCTTAACGAGAGAGACCGAGTAGATATACATATATAAAGTCCAAGGTTCTGTGTAACACTTTGTAAGATGCTGGGTTTTTTATCATGAGACGTTGTTAGCTCTTCTTGTTAAATCCCTAAGCTGAAAGCTAACCCCTTGTTGAATGTCTGCAACTGTTTATTCAATATATTTACAGCTACTCTCCATGTCTGGAGGCCTACTCTATCCACAACCTGAGGGCATCCTATGCCACGATGACAAGGGACCTAATTAACATTGGAGGGTGGATAGTAACTGAATTCTTAAATATTATTTACATTATCCAGAGTGTTAAGTACTGGTCTTTGCCACATTTATTTGTTTTATTCCCCTTCCATTTAAAGCAGCTGTTTTATAAGGATAAAAGATGCAGCGGCAACAGAACATCTTTCTGACCCACATGGAACACTGAAAGGCAAATTCATTTCCATCAAGAGAATTGAAGGTGTGGGGTTAACTGAAGAGTGAACAGATTTGCAACATGTCTATTTCATAAGCTTGCCAACTGTGCAACAACAGCTGGTCAGCAGTGTTCACTCTGTGTGTGCGCGCGCGCCTTAGATTAAGGATATTGAGGAATCTGTTCTTCATTGGGTCCGAGAGTACTTATTTCTCAATTTCTTTTCCAGTAACTTTTTATATGATGTAACAGTTAATTGATGTTAATAATTGGTACACTGGGTTAGCATTGGTAATATAATATTTGTGTAATACATTAATGAATAAGTATAAAAAATATTTTTAATAAAATAACGGTCTTTTTCTGCAAATTAGTTGGTTAATCAGTTTACAGAACATTTTCACCTCCCGAATTGTAATGTATTTTGAATTCAACATGGAGCAGGTGTCTATTCTGTCAAACTGTTTTATGAAATTAAATATTAATTCCATACTGGCCAACAAATTGTAGCTTCGATATGAGAGAGACGATGGTAAATATAAATTGTCCGTTTCAAGGATAGTTCATTCATATCAAGCATGGAGGGATACAGTAAGGCCTACAGAAGACAATATCAGCAACTGAAGGTGTTGCGTACAAGCCAGTTTTCACATATGTCGGACTGAAAACAAATGGCTCGAAATATGAAATCCTTAGTATTCAGTTTTGATGCTTGCATTTGGAACCAGAGAATTTTTTTTCATAATTTTTCTATTTTAATTGAACAGTTTGCATTCATATTCTTATAATTATCATTCACTATTACAGGAGAAAGAATGTGCAAGTAGTGGAAACTTCAGTTACGTTATAATATCGTGTAATTTATTGTACAAAACTTTATCTTTCTTAATGAGCATGAGTAACAACTGACATGGTTCTTCTGTATTGTGATTTAAGATTAGTAAAACATATGGTTGACTGTTATGCAAACATTGATCATTCAGATAAACAAATTTTACTCAGCAACTATTACACATTTTTCTGGAATTTTTATTGGACTGCTCCTGCTGCCAATAGATCATGTCAAGAAAGGGTGTGCAGTTCCCCGCCTCCAACCCTATTTGGAGTCAGAAGTACTCCAATATCATTGAGTGTGTCACAACTTGCACGTCTTTATTGTGCGTTGAACACGAGGTGTGACACTTTCTTTGAATGCCCACATACGTATATATCACATCGAATAGCGACGTGTTACGACATAACTAATCAAAGGTGCGGAGGTAGGAAGCACTATAGAAAATTATGAACTCTGAACAAAAAAATTTTATCAGCGTAAATGAGTTCCTTTATGATTAATAAGAAATAATTAATGGGAAATTGTTTAAAACTGGAGGTTTAAGCCGCATGTACACAGTCATTTGGCTCGCTCAAATTTGACTCGCAGGCGAGTCCTGTACATACGTGCACCATTCTCACTATTCACACTAATATGTTAAAAGTTAAATGACGGATGAGACTGTAAAGGTATGGGTGAGAGAGTTGCAGTTAACATTAAGAGAAAAACAGTGCCTGGGAAAAGATGGTGGATACGAGACTGGATAAAGAAAAGTGTGTTTGGATGTCAAAAACAATGCTAGAAGAACAATACATTATTTGCTGGCTAAAGTGAAGCCTCTCATTACGAAAAAGGATTCTTTCATGAAAGCACTTCTTGCTGATCTGGAAATTCATATGTCTTGTGCCCAAGACTTCAATCTCCATATTTATTCCTGTAATGCTGGCTGCCATTTCAGAGTCACTGGAAGAGGACACTGAAGTACGTAACTGTAAAGTTTACATTAGAGTAGCAGTTGGAAACTAACACAAACATTCTTCTTGTACCCCTTTTCTCTCCCGCGTAGAGCATGGGGGCCTCCTTTCTGAGGTTTCTGATCTATACGATAGTATAGCATGGCATAATATGTAACGCAGACATAAACAAACTTGATATCATGATGTCAATGTCAAAGTCTTGTGTAGAGAATAAAATGTATTTTGTGAATAAGAAACAACAAACGGGAGTGGAGGTGCCTAAAACTGAAGGGCTGATGGTTGACTTTCAAATAATGCAAGTATCTCCTTTGTCACTGTGTCCTGTATCTGACTTTTGTACCACAGTGCAAATGATTACATTTTTGTAATTTGTTTCTTTGGTCTGTTCGTGATGGCAAGTTGATCCATAATTTTTTTTTTCTGATGAGGCATGGTTTTCCTTCCATAAAGATGTGGATTCTCAGAAGTTGGTATTCGGTGGATAAGTGCATGCAGGATATTTGACCTTTTATGACATTAGTCAATGTGAACAATATCCTAAACCCACTTTTTACTGAGCTA